CTACTTTTGATCACTTTTCCAAGGAGTTACCCGTTATGCCAATACTGATTTTTCTTTTTTTACTATTATTAATATATGTTTTGATTTTCGCATTTCCACTGTGCCACAGTGACGGGTAATTCCTTTGTCGATCATCAGTGTAGATTTGATGAGATTTTAGTTTTAACACACAAAAGTTGTCACCAAAATGTGTTTTTTAGACAAAAATTCTTAAGTAAAGGAGTCTATTTTGCTAAACTAACAGTAGTCAATGTATTATTATTATAGCTTTGATACAGTAATAAACGGCAAGACATACGAATTGAAAACTATTTAGATGTATTTAACTTTTTAATGTTCGTATCATTCGGTCCATGCGGTTTTCTTGGCTCGTTGCAATCTCACATACCGATCTGTAACATAGCAAAGGTAAAAAGTGAAACATTAGGATGTGATCAGAGCTTTAATAAAGCTTTAATAACAAAATAAAATTATAATGTTTTCAACTTGCAACATTTCACAAAAAAAAAACACTTGGGAGTCGATTCTGCTCACAATAAAACGAATAACACAAAGGTCACAAAGAGTAATTACTGCGAGTACTTACCAGCTAGAATTTATGTTTCTCCCTTTTTCCTCCAATATTTCACTGAGAATCACTTCGCATCTTCTGTTCCCGTTCTGGAAGATTATACTTCCATTTAAGAACTGAGGCATGCGCAGAACAGCCGGAACCTCAGAATTTCTGCGGTCGAGATTTGATGTCCCCAGAGTCTACCCTGGCGTTGCCCCGCTGACCAAAAAGCCAGAAGACTCTGGGTACGAGAGATTACAATGTCGGCAAACAAAGAAGTCTGTATCGTGAAAACGGAGAGATCTGTGTATGAGGAGTAAAGAGCAGGACAGGATTTACGACTCAATAAACTTCAAAAAACAAGGACGAATATCCTGTATATCGTCAACGCTGGAGCTCTAATCAGCCTAAACTTGACTGAAATAAAATTAAAGAATCTCTGTCCACCAGTGGAAGGCAGAATCTAAACAATAACTCTTAGATTTATCAACCACAACTTAATTGCAACTGCCATTAATGCCGAATGTTTGAAAATGGTTTCAAAAAATCGCCATGCAGCCTTTTTTAGCAGAGCTCTCGCGCGCGAAGCGCGCAGCGGAGCATCATGGGTAGAGAAATGTGGTAAACTACCCATCCGAGAAATTTTGGTAATCACGTGACCGTACACCGACCGCCCGCCCGCCCGACCGTCCGTCCGCACCACAGGCATACCAATGTAAAATAATTCAATCAACAGGTATGGCAACCCAAATGCAACTCAAGGTTTTATTTGGAAAGAATTCGCGTGGCCGCCCGGACTTTTAGAAAGAAAAAACAACAACAAAGTCGTGTCTTTTTCGCCATTATTTGAGAGAAAGAGCTAGAGCGAGTGATTAAAAACAAAAGAGACGAATTTCGTAGGAAGAAAACATGAAAATTCAAAGCGGCTGTGAGACAATGAGAAATGCTAGCGGCCAGCAAGGTGAAAATAAGCGGCAGTGAAAAATAAAAGCGAACATGAACACAGGAGACAAAATATTGAGTAAGCACATACGACAATTCCTCCATAAAAATAATGTGTAACTCGGAAGTTTGACGTTTTAGTCCTACAAAACAGCGTTGTAGTTATGAAAAACAACGGCAAAGAAAGACAAAAAGCGTGCTGCACCTGCAAATTTGTTTTTTTTGCTAACTAGAAAAAAAAGTGTGCTGCACGTGCAGTTTGTCTTTTTGCTTATTAGATCTATTGATCTTGATGCCATTTTCATTGCCCTCCCTGTTTAACATTACACCATATAATTTTTTTTGTTTAGAAGTATAATTAACTGGAGCTTCGCTTTTAGCCCTGGCTAAATCTATATATTATTGTAGAATGTTTGCTTTCGTTTTGAGCTGTTTTGACATCAGGGCGTTCCAACATCAACGCGAAATTTACATAATCGCTCATCCAACGCGTTCAAAGTTTCAGTATTATTGAGAAGAGGGCATATACATGTTCAAGCCAGGATGAGCAAAAAACGCCAAAAAAACAAACAAACAAACACACACACACAAATAAACGAAGAAATAAAGACAAAAAAAGCAAAAAGGTTATTTCGTACGATTGTCATTTGCAAGGGTGCTTTATAGGGGTCTATGGGGCATCCTGGGTATAATTAGAAATCTTGCCAAAATTAACTACATACATGTCATCACGGTCTACGTATTTAATTTGCCACTCGTAACCCGTTTAGACATGTGTACGTCATGTGATTTGTATGTGTCTGAAGAATTATTTTTTTTTAAATCTCCTCTTATCTACGTGCATATATATAAGATCGTAGACTTTATGGAAAGACAGGGCAAATTCCTCTGAGGTCATCAACCATATAGTGGCCACAATGCATACATTTGAAGATTAAAACTTTTTCATCAGCTCTCCCTTACATGAAAATAACATTCTCCTTTCTTAACTATGTGCTCAGTTCAATAGATTAAGAACCTCTCTCATAAAAGGTTTTTCGCCGCTCACTACGGGGCTTAACGTAAAAAAGTAAATTATTTCAAATATTGGAATGTCTGCAAAATTGAGCTTTTCCACCAAAATAGGTCTCCTGAGGAGTATCAATAAATAAACCCCGTGAAGCATGAGAACTATGCAGACACGGTAACACTCCGAAAGAAAATGAAAGTAGAATTGTAAAAACAAACGACTTCCGCCCTCGAAATCCCAGTACATGTTCTACCCACCTCAAGTCTCCAGCTGAATTCGTCTCGATCAGGAAGAACAATAGCTACGTATGTAGCAACTGAGAGGCTAAAAACGTACAATTTATAAGTGTAGTATTGTACAAGCGTTAAAAATCTCTCGGTCGCTTGCGCTTCTACAGTACTTCGAATTCCTACTCCGAGCTAGAAATTTGACCTCGATTTCTCTTTGTTTCCTTGTCAGCGGTTGCACGAAAAATACACTACTCTCCGGGGAGGGGTAAAGCAATAATTTCCGATCACAAGGTCTTTTATGGTAGGAACTTTTAAGGAAAGATATGCGCACATCGCAAACCCCTCGTCTTCCCAAAATATTAAAACGACCAAAGAGATTAATCGACTGACGTAACAGTACCCGAAGTTTTCTCGCTCCTCACTAAGCCAATGGACTTTGAAATACAGTGATTACGAAACAACGAAACGGAAAAACGTGCGTCACTCAATCCTATTTGTTAACAAATTTGAGGTAAGGTGTAGGAGTCTAAGGTCGCGAAAGTAAAAAGACAAATTGACATGGCTTCTGATAATATTGAGAATCACGAGAACTTGATAATATTGAGAATCACGAGAACTTCTTAACATTTTTAATCTACGATAATAAATACACAAAAACCAATTTGGTTTTTTGCAGGGTAGGTCTACTGTGACCCAATTACTCTCTACTTTTCATGACTTCGCCAGATCTAGGAATTCATCTGTAGCAACAGATGTTGTATTTCTTGATCTCGCAAAGGCTTTTGATAGTGTTCCTCATGAGCGTCTACTCATAAAGTTATATAGCCTCGGTATTGAGAGCAAACTTCTTAACTGGTTGAGGCATTTTCTCACGTGTAGAAAGCAACGAGTTGTTGTAAGAGGGACTTTTTCTGATTGGGCACCTGTGATATCTGGTACCCCACAGGGAACTATTCTTGGTCCAATTTTATTCCTATCATATATAAATGATATCGTTGATAGTGTCTCTTCAAAAATTAAATTATTTGCGGATGACACAAAGATTTACAGAGAGCTTCGCAACCCTAGTCTCGATGAACAATACCTTCAAACTGATTTGAATAATCTTGGTAAATGGGCGAAAAAATGGCAACTTCGTTTCAATGAGGAAAAGTGTGAAGCAATGCGAATAACGCATTCTCGTGACAAATCGACTACGAATTATAAACTAGGTACGGCCTTAAAAGATGTCAAGAGCTTTAAAGATCTTGGAATTATTATATCAAAAGATCTTACTTGGAGTGAACATATTAGTACTATGGTGAATAAGGCGAACCAAGTCCTAGGGCTAATAAGACGGTCTGTTGGAACAGCTAATACAACAACTTTTTCATTGCTTTACAAAACATTGGTCAGACCACTTCTAGAGTATGCTGCTCCAGTCTGGAACCCATATCTTGTCAAAGATATTCATGCAATAGAGAGCGTGCAAAGACGCGCGTCAAGATTAGCTCTTAGGCAAAAAAGAGGTGATATGTCTTATGAAGAGCGTTGTGACACGTTACATTGGCCATCTTTGTCCAGTCGTAGGACATATTCCTCTCTTGTTGAATGTTATAAGATCGTGTTTGGCTTATCACACTTGGATTTTGAGGAATTCTTTCAATTCGCAAAAGTCAAATCCACTAGGGCAAATCACTCGTATAAGCTTTATTGTAAATTATCTAGAATCAACTGTTTTAAATATTCTTTTTTTAACAATGTAATTAGTTATTGGAACAATTTACCTAGTAATGTTGTTGAAGCCGGTACCCTTGAACTTTTTAAATGTAAACTCAAATCCTTTTTAAAGTTGTAATTTTTATTGTTTGTTTGTTGTTTTTAGGAGAGTTTTATTCACAGGGTTAACCTCTAGACTCTCCCTTTCAAATTTATGTAGTTATATATGAGTTTAAATAAACATGTATGTTATGTTATGTTATAATCATAAAAGTCAAATTATAAAAACAGTTAGATAGAAGGTTCCTGTTTTTCATACTAAAAAGCAAACAAGACAACGAAATAAGTAGATTGAATGTTAATCACATCGCACTAACAACATTATAACTAACCTGTTAATATAGTATGCTTAAAATTGAGTCTTTGTTTTCTTAGTCTCAAGCGACCTACATACGACCCGATCCCAGATTCTAGTGATTCTACTGTAAAACCATTAACGACGGTATCAACATTAAAATTTTTTTCAGATAGGACTACTTTCCCGTCTCCTCGTTCCACTCAATAATTCTCAAGGAGAATGATTGACATTACACAGAATTTCGCTGTTAATAGTCCCACGGCACGTAGGGCAACGGAAATCGCCATTATTTTTATGTTCCTGCACACATTGTCTGCAGTACAAGAGATGAGAACAAGGTAAAATAATGCAGTCACGTTTCCTCACAAAGCAAATCTGGCATAGCAGTGCGGCCTTGGTTTCTTCCAGCTCCTTTTTCAGAGTATCAATCTCTCCAGTAGCTTTGGATTCTGTATCTTTCAACATTTTTTCGAATTCGTCTCGTTGTTTCTGACTATCCCGCTTCCACTGTTGCTCATACTTTCGATAAATTTCTAAATCAAAATCTTGTAGCTGGCCAACCATCTCAGCGTGTTCCATTTTCAGGTTATTCACTTGCCCTGTGAGAGAAATCTTTTCATCTTTAAGCGTAACAGCACAGTCACGTAAGTTTAGCAGCTGGGAGCGGATACAACTCATTTGCGTCAGCTCCTCTGCAACCTCTTGATCAAGTTTGCAGGAACTCAACTGACCTGTTAATAAAGAGAAATATATAGATCACAATGACTCGATAGCAAATCACTGCAGACTGTCACAAAGGAACGTGGACTTTAGGGGCAGGTTCATGAGTTACTTTGTACTGCATGTTTGAGAATTTACTAAGAGTAACCTTTTAGAATTGATGACTTAACAATTCCTCTACATTGCGCGGCGTTACTCTATTATCCATTCTCTAACGAGATGTTTTGCCGAAGCCTACATATTTAAACAAAAAACGTTGCAATAGAACTATTGCCTTAGCTCACTTGAAGGCTCATTGCTAAAATGCGTAGACAAGGGCGATAAAGCAAAGCTACAAATTCCTGCAGGAAAGAATAAATTATATAGATAGGAACGCTAGCACCCTGGAAACACCTTTAATGTGGCCAGCTACACTCTCTCAACTTTAAACTGCTTTCAGGATGAAAAAAATTTCAGGACTAACAGAAAATTAAAATATAACTTGCATGGCCAATTTATTCCTTGAGCATTTTCTGTTTTGGTTTTAGGTTTTGTGCTTTTTGTACCACTTTATGGTAATTAGAACAAGTAGGTGTAATTAGAGAAAAGCTTTACCTCGGATTGTATCATACTCCCGGTACTCAGTGACACCATGTGGCCAGGTGAAAAGAGCGCAGCCCTGTAAGGAACCTTCCTTCCAAGTCCCTTCCTGAATGGTTCCATCCGGCAGCTTTAAGGTACCATATCCTGTCATTTTGTCAAACTGCCACTGTCCCTCATACACAGCCTCGGAGGTGAAAATCATTTGCCCATGGCCGTGCCTAATATTCGAAGTAAACCAAAAAATTAAGCAAAATCTATGACTGTTTCTATATTATTATACCCTCAGACTCAAATCATGGCTGACAAAAGTCCATTTTTTGTATCACCTTCAAAATCTCAGTGCTATTAAGATGAAGAGTTTGTAGATTGAGACTTTGAAGAGTTTCTTGCGTTAGGAGCGTAAACATTAAAGAAGGCCCCCCACAAAACACATTAATTACCTCTCAACAATGATCGACTTCCAGTCATTTCTAAGAGGGTTAAAATGGGACAGGGCTTAAAAGAAGTGAGTTTTAAAAGTAAAGTAACGAAACACGTAAGAAAAAGGGTTAATATTAAAAAGGCTTTTAATGTTGTATCACTCGAAAACTGTCCCTGACAAAAGCTGCTTTACTGATGGTAATTACTAGTACCCTAAGACAAGCGGTATAGTAAATATTAATATTATTATTATTATCATTAGGAGGTGAGGTGTCTTCGAATAAACTACACCTCATGTTGTGTTTCCATCCACCAATGTAAAATCCTTGTTCAGCCGCCGAATGGTTAGATCCTGGAACAGGGAAAATGAGCCCTTCACCCTTGCCATGTCTCTTGCCTGAATAGAAAAAGGGTAAATGTTTTGTTAGGGAAGGGGTAGGTGGGGGACTTCCATGTATACTCGACTGACTGTTCAAAATAAAAGGAAATCACCACACTACAATGCGATCTCTCTTATTAAACTGGATAACTAGAGAAGCCAGAAAACATTTTCCACGTCTTCGTAGGTAGTTATCAAATTGGAACAAAACAAATTCACTTTCCAATTTATCAAACCATTGACCATTGGAGTAATCTGACAACTTTAGGGTTCGTTTTATTATTTATTGATGTATCTGTACAATTTCTATTCACAGGCCAACAACGTGAACCATTCAACTGAACCATTAAATGGTCTTCAAATGGGTTCCCTAATGAATCTAAACGGAACTTATCAAAAACGTAACTGCGTTTCAAGTTGCATCAAACTTCGTGAAGGGAAAATTTTTACTGAAAATGGGACATTTCAAAGTACCGTAAAATTCCGAAAATAAGCCCCTCCATGTATAAGCCCCTCCAAATATAAGCCCCCCAAACTCGTAAAGTAAAAACCCCTCCGTTAAATCGCCTCTCCAAATATAAGCCCCCCCGGGGGCTTGTACGTGGAAATTGCCCTCAAATACAAAGTAACTATAAGGCCAGCCAAATCAAGTTTGAAACGCAAATTTCCCTCCGTAGATAAGCCACTCCAAAAATAAGCCCCTCAAAAAGAGCCTTCGAAAAATATAACCCCCGGGGCTGATTTTCGGAATTTTACGGTACCGAAAGGCTAATTATTGAAACAAACGATCATTTACGAGGAATAGGGGGAGATAGCTGAAATGTAAAAATTTAACAGATTTCTTTTACCCCTGCACCAGTCTCCAGAATAAATGAATTCGCCCGTCGCAGTTTTCAGAATTCCTCGTCCATGTGGAAGCTCTCGTAAACTACAAGAATCTGCTTCTTGAAATGACACATGTCTATGTGGAGGTATATGCTGCAAAAGGTCCTCGCTAGTTGATGGCTTTAGGTATTTACTGCTGAAAGGATCTCGGGCATAGCTGCATTCCATTTTGGTTTTAAAGGTGATGGCTTCGAGCTTAGATTGGACTTCCCGCATATCAACTTTTCTATTGGTGTATAAATCTGACGGTAACAGACAGACAAAATAATCTGGATCAGTTACTTGGTTAGTACAGAGCTCAACACAGTCAAAGTCATCAATAAGTCTCAGTGAAAAGAACAATAGGGTTGCTTTCTGGACTGCCTTGGCAAGATGGTGAATCGGGTTTTCCATACATAGCATCATTTAATATTCATTTTGCTGATTCGAAATTCTTATACTTGAAAGATTCAATTTGTGCTCTCTATGCATTGCTAGAAAATAACTGTCTTCATAGTTGTTAATTGTTTCAACTGATTTTTTTAAAAGTACTTCTACTCTGATTCCGTTATTATTGATAATTTGGCTTTTTTCAGAAAGGAGGCCGGGTTATCAATAATGTATAAAACCTGGGCACGCTTATTTGAGGGGGGTCCTTATTCAATTGAATACGGTTTCTCACCTTTATTTTCACGTGGGGATGATTCTTTACCAAATAAATCACTTGCTTCTTTGGTGTTCAACTCGTTCATAGTCATCATCCTTTGGAAAAGCTCTCTTTGAATGTCAGCACAGCGAATCAAGGCATTTAAAGGATCTTGCAGTTCACCTAGCAGAGTCCGGGGAGCACCGTTTACGCTCTTTTCTGAGTTCTCCGTGTCCTTCACGTAAGAAATCTTTGATGCGTCATCTAACCTCCCTGCTGCGTTCAACGTGTCGCACTCACTTGTGATATTATCCAAACACACTCTTGTGCTTTTAGTGTGCTTGGAATCAATATTTGCCAGTTGAGCACCATTTAATACACACTCTTCTGCTTTTTCCATTCCGGAAGTCTCCGGTAAACTCGCTGATGTGTCACTACATTCCAAGCCAGTATCAGATGGCCCTGTGACATGAGCCTGTAACTTGAGTAACAGAAGTCTGTAGAGAGAGTTCTGAATCTGCGTACATTTAACAATGCTGCCGAGAAGCGCATCTCTAAGCTGCTTGGCTTCTGAAATAGACAGAGCTATTGGCTTCTGTCTCTCAGTGGCATGGGTCTCAGTTGCAGTAAACACACAAGCAGGATTTGATTCTGAAGTAAAGTTAAAGTTTGGTGTGAGAGTAAACAAAGTGTTTGGCGCTTGAGGAATTGTCACGTTTGGGGTGAAGCTTGTTTGTGAAGCAGTTTTTGGTAGTACAAAGGGAGAATCTGTTGTAGACCTTGCTGAAATGAGAAAAGGCCAGCTCAAGGTTAACGCCTAGAAACAAAAATGCTTGGTGTCCTTGCCGAGTACAAATGCGTGATATTTAAAAGACAACTTTCCGGGTTTAAACAAGAGAAAGTAGTATAGTAGGCAACTCTTCAATCCATTTTGTGAAGAATTCTCATTTAAGCATTCTCAGGAATACTTGGCATTATTGGAGGACTGAGGAGATATGGAGATCGAGGATGGTGTAATCCCTCGAAGTTCACTTAACGCGCAAGTTTTTAGACAGTCCTTGGTTTTCCTGTGAAGGAAAAACTTGATAAGGGGTTAATTTTTGCCCTAAAAACGAAACGGGTCATTACGCAACTTATTGTAGGGAATAATAGCCTGAGATCGGGCCCAATTTTAGCAGCTTCCTACACGAGGTTAAGTGAACAACAGCACAAAAAAAAACAGCTTTTTTCGGCTACGCTTTAAATATACAGTCGAACTCCGCTATTTCGAACTCGGTTAATTCGAAGTCCCCGCTATTTCGAAGGAAGATCGATTCCCTTGGATTTACCTTTTCCCTTTACGCTTCCCCGGTTATTTCGAAACCCCGCTATTTCGAACTTTTTTCCATTTCCCTTAGGACTTCGAAATAGCGGGGTTCGACTGTATTTGTTATTCATATTTTGCTTACCAGTAATCGTCTTATTTGACGACAAATTTGACACTGGTCGCTTCACAGCAGCTGTTCGCCATGCTTTTTTCGACACTCTCCTGAGTAACTTGGACGAATCAAAAGAGTCTACAAAGGTTCAAAAGGAGATCATAGATAAACTACATCAAAA